GTTGATCCCAGTTTAAACTAACCACATCTGTTGATTGCGCCGTGCTGTCTTCAAATACATTTTGTTAATATTTTGACTATGTTTTCTGGTTTCTTTCCTGCGAGGATTAGTTTCAAATATCTAGTTTACCACTGCCAGCTTTATTACTTTAAAATCACGTGTGCATATCAATTGCCATTGAAATGAATAGAGAGAAAATACAATTGATGCTGAAGGACAATATTGAAATTCTTTATAGCAAAGAAATTGAGTCTAATGTAGATAGAGTTCTTCCATAAATTCACTAATTCATCTGATCTCATCTTTTTTGTTGCTGTTTTTTTTTTTGTCAGTTACAAAGAAAAGTAACAGGCTTGTAAAAAGGAAACTCAGATTACATAGGAATGAATACTATAGTTATTTATACCTTTAACTAGTAGTCTGATGCATGAAAATTCGTGCAAGAGTAGGTTTCCCTTCCCCTGGCTGCTAGCATCGGCTTTCCTCTGGCACTGGAGACCTGGGCTTCCCTCCTCTGACCTGGTTTTGTCAAGAAGGATGTCCGGTGCCTAAGCTGGTTTGGCTCAGTGGATAGAGTGTTGGCCTGAGGACTGAAGGGTCCAGGGTTCGATTCCAGTCAAGGGCATGTACCTTGATTGCAGGCACATCCCCAGTGGGGGGTGTGCAGGAGGCAGCTGATTGATAACTCTCATCAATGTTTCTAACTCTATCTCTCTCCCTTCCTCTCTGTAAAAAATCAATAAAATATATTTAAAACAACAACAACAACAAAAGCTCTTTTCTGGCTGGAACCATGGAGGGTGCAGAAGAGAAGAAGAAGGTTCCTGCTGTGCCAGAAACCCTCAAGAAAAAGCGAAGGAATTTCTCAGAGCTGAAGATCAAGCGCCTGAGAAAGAAGTTTGCTCAAAAAATGCTTCGAAAGGCAAGGAGGAAGCTCATCTATGAGAAAGCGAAGCACTATCACAAGGAGTACAGGCAGATATACAGGATGGAGATTCGCATGGCTAGGATGGCAAGAAAGGCCGGCAATTTCTATGTACCTGCCGAACCCAAATTGGCGTTTGTCATCAGGATCAGAGGTATCAATGGTGTGAGCCCCAAGGTCCGAAAGGTGCTGCAGCTTCTCTGCCTTCGCCAGATCTTCAACGGCACCTTTGTCAAGCTCAACAAGGCCTCCATCAACATGCTGAGGATTGTGGATCCTTACATTGCTTGGGGGTACCCAAATCTGAAGTCGGTGAATGAGTTGATCTACAAACGTGGTTATGGCAAAATCAACAAAAAACGAATTGCCCTGACAGATAACGCATCGATTGCTCGATCTCTTGGTAAATATGGCATCATCTCCATGAGATCTACACTGTTGGAAAGCACTTCAAAGAAGTGAACAACTCCCGGTGGCCCTTCAAGCTATCCTCTCTCCTCGGGGTGGCATGAAGACCACCCATTTCGTAGAAGGTGGAGATGCTGGCAACAGGGAAGACCAGATCAACAGGCTTATTAGAAGGATGAACTAAGGTAACTATGGTTATTTTTGTAATCTGGTCAGTTAATAAACTGAGATCTTCAAAATTGAAAAGAAAAAAAAAAACCAACAAAAAAGAATTAAAAAAAAAAAAAAAAAAAGGATGTCCGGAAGACATCTGATCTAATTAGCATATTACCTTTTCATTAATAGATTATTTACAGTAATTAAGAAAACACTGAGTTTAGAATATGTGACGAATAAATGCCAATTTTCTTTCCCTTTTCAGAAAATAGAAGCATAAGTGTCTGCTGACCAGGAACTCAAACTTTCTGACCTTTTAAAATATTACTGAAGATAATCTCAAGCTGACCTAGCTGGTTTGGCTCATTGGATAGAGTGTCAGCCAACAGACCGAAAGGTCCAGGTTCGATTCCTGTCAAGAGCACATGCCCAGGTTGCAGGCTCCATCCCCATTGGGGCCTTGCAGGAGGTAGCCAATCAGTGATTCTCTCCCCCTTATCAGGGCAACACTCTAACCAACTAACATGCCCAGTTAGGGCTAAATTATGTTTTCAAGTCTGATTTGTTTTCTCTCCTTTTAGTAATTGTAAGTCAGGGGAAAATAAAAATTTCCTCTGTAAACTTTATGTACAATATAAACATTTTTAAAATGAATTTGATATACTTAGTGTGGTACAATACTTGCAAAAATAAAAGTAAAACCCTCAAATAACAGTTGTATAGCTAAAGGATTTCCAATTTGGTCTATGTAAGTCTGCTATTGAAGGTGAGAAAGATCCATAAAACAAGGATACAAATGTTTGTTCTGGAGATGCAAAGTAGAATCTTTCCTTTGTAAGCCCTCAGGGAGTTACATAATTTTTTTTTTTTTTTTGTGAGAGTTACATATTCTTTACCGAATTTGTAGGATTTGTGAGAAGACCCTTGCAAAGTGTGGTCATCAAATCATTTAAAAAAATATATTTTATTGATTTTTACAGAGAGGAAGGGAGAGAGATAGAGAGCCAGAAATGTTGATGAGAGAGAAACATCATCGACAGCTGCCTCCTGCACATCCCCCACTGGGGATGTGCCCGCAGCCAATGCACATGCCCCTGACCAGAATTGAACCTGGGGCCCCCCCGGTCCGCAGACCGACGCTCTTCCACTGAGCCAAACCGGTTTCGGCCGTTAAATAATTTCTATATTAAGCAACCCTCCATCCCCTGCGCCCACACTGCTGCTTCCGGCCTACCCCCACTCCGAGTGCTCTACCAACGTTAAGACACCAAGGGAGGCACCATCCACTCCAATGCTCCCCTCAAAGACCACTGCGGTACAAACAGATGAACTGTTGATAGGTACAGCTTTTTGCTGTGTGCTTGCCATTTCTTGGCATTTCCAGAGCACCTTCACATGTCCAAAACGCTGTACCAACATTTATTCACCCTCACAACACCCCTGTGAGGTAGGTCAGTTGTCTTGTGTGGTAGAAAGGCTGAGGCAGACAGAGGTCAAGTGAACCTGCCTGAGGCCACCAGGGCTCCTGGTGAAGGAACCCACCGAATCCCGAAGCTCGGGCTCTCCGTCCCACGTTCACCGTGGTGAGCACTGCATGGGTATATTTCCGCCGGGGAAGGACCGAGCACACAGGCCTCTCAGTCAGCAGAATCACCACAGTTCAAATGGCATCGGTGACCGAGGGTGAAGGAGAGACACCTTCACCAGCGCAGCGGCGAGGCTGCGGAGGAAGAACCATCCGACGAGCTTGAGGTGCAGCCAGGCCTTCAGGACTCATCGGAACGGTGACCACCCAGACGCCTGTGGTCTCCAAACGGGAGAAAACGCAGAAGACAGGGAAAAGCCAACCACTCCACCTGATCCTACACAGGCATGGCCCAGTGCTCACCCACGTTAGAAAGGCCGGCATGTTTGCAATGTGACTACTGACAATTAGTAGCCTTTCTGGTACCCAGACTTTATTCCACGCATGTGTCTCTTTTCCACCAGCACGCGTTGTTTCCTATAGCAGACTTCCCTCTCTCTCTCTCCATACCAATCTGTACACTGGCTTAACTACCAACTACCGGCTCAGTGGCACGTCACATGGTTCACCGGTGAGCTCGGGATGGAATCCAGGAGACCACAACAGGCCATATTCTCGGCCCCTGGATATTAATATATTATTATTTTAAAAAATATGTTTCTTGCCGAAATCAGTTTGGCTCAGTGGATAGAGCGTTGGTCTGTGGACTGAAAGGTCCCAGATTCAATTCCACTCAAGGGCATGTACATTGGTTGTGGGCACATCCCCAGTCAGGGGTGTGCAAGAAGCAGCTGGTCAATGTTTCTCATCGATGTTTCTAGCTCTCTATCCCTCTCCTTTCCTCTCTGTAAAAAATCAATAAAGAATAAAAAACAAACAACAAACAAATGATGTCAATCACATTAAAAAAAATAAAAATCTATTTCGTTATTGATTTCAGAGAGGAAGGAAGAGGGATAGAGACAGAAACCTCAATGATGGGAGAGAACCATTGATCAGCTGCCTTCTGCATGCCACCTACTAGGGATCAAGCCCACTGGGCATGTGCCCTTGGCCGGAATTGAACCTGTGACCTGAGTCTGAAAGCCGAAGCTCCATCCACTGAGCCACATCAGCCAAGGCACGGCCCTTGGACTTTAGAAACTGGCTCTAACCAGCCTCTGCCCAATTCCATCTTCTGTGAAGTGCCAGAAGCACAGCAGCAGCCCATGGCTTTGCCATGAGGGGGCACTTGGCTCCCTGTTACTGAAGGACAGGACGAGGAGGCCTGCCCCGGAGGGCATGGTGGAGGGCAGACTCAGCAGAGCTGCAATGACCACAGAGTTAAAAGCCATCACTGTTATCACCGTTTATTTGACAATAGTTGGTTAAGTCTACAAGTTTAAGGCAAACATACTAATGCATTTGCTTTTCTTCAGAAATCATACTTAGAAAGATTACATAAAGTCTGTTCCAAAACTTCTAAGAAATATTCATTAATTAAAAATAAGTCTGATTAAGACGTTTTATCAGGATACATGAATGAACTTAGGTGGCATACAATGTTCCCTTAAAAACAAAATAAAAAAAAAAAAAAGGTAGTGGCAATCTTTATCTTGTTTGAAGAATATATTTGAAAGGGTTAAACTTCAGAAAGTACTTAAAGGTAAGAAGATTGGCAGCCATAAGGAATGCCATTCACAAATGAGCAGAGTTATGGAGGCTCCTGGAGAAGGACTGACGCTGGGCTTCGAGAGGAGGAGGCAGGAGGCGCAGCCACCGCCCCGGGAGCCGCAGGGCGGGAGGCGGCGGGCAGCGCCCACCACAGCCGGCGGGCTGGCAGCGCCCGGCCGCACGGCTCCGGGCTTTCTCAGAGAGTGGTGAGTAGGGGTGCTGTGTCAGCTGTTCCTTTTGTTTCCAGTGAGCAGGAGATGCCGGACGTCATGAAGAAAACAAACATACAATCTGAAGGAAGGCAGCCCTTTAACCCCGACGGCGGAGTGTGGCTTATGTGTCTCCGTTTAACACAGCCAGGCAGTTCTGCAGCAGCTGTAGGTTGCCCTGAACAGGAAGGGAGAGACAAGGATGAAGTTCAAATACTCTGGGAGAGTCTCATTCAAAATAAAAGTATGGAAAACCGCCAGCTTTTAACTTGTGACAGCACAGGGATTTTGGAAACAGCTACTTATTATACACAGACAGACATAAATTCTAGAATTTGTTTCACGAACACTTTCCACATTCTACACTCTTCAAAAGACTTCCAGCAAGACCAATATTATGGCACGTTCGAATGAGGGAGAAAGTGTGCCCTTTGTGTCCAGCTCAAGCTACCGAACACTTTCTGGCTGTAACACACGTTCCCGTCACCATCTTACAGCCATTAACAAATAAACTCGCTTAGATATATAGCAGTTTTTAAAAAAATGGTAAGGTTACAGACAAAAGTGTTGTATGAAGTTCACACCTAAGTACCCATTTGTACCATCCACTCTAACTATTGCAGTTTAGACAGAAATGGAAAGTTACAAAGTAAGTGCCATTTGTAAAGCACACACACTGCCATCGAACCTGGAGGTGCGTGAAGTACAGGGCGAGGCAAAAGTAGGTTTACAGTTGTGAGTGTGTGAAGAACAGTTTATTTTGATATTATTACTTATAATCCTTGTATTATTTTCCATACAAACAAGTGGAAGCCTACTTTTATCCCACTATTTAGGTTACATAATATATAAAACGGGGGTGAAAGAAACCCCTTCCTTCAAGTAGAAAGTCAACCGAAATGTAAAGAATGATGGGACTAGGAAACGACCACTTGGCAGCCATCAGATTAATATCAGAGTGAGGCAAAAATCACCATTAGATGCCAAAACTGTATGATGCTAAAATGCCAATGCTGTTGGTTAAAGGAAACAAGCACAGCCGGTGTGGCCCAGGTGGCTGGGCGCTGTCCCATGAACCGAACGGTCGTGGGATTCGATTTCCGGCAGGGCACATGCCCGCGTGGCGGGCTGGATCCTCGGTAGGGGTTGTACAGGAGGCAGCTGACCAATGTTTCACTCTCACATCGAGGCTTCTCTCTCTCTCTCTCTCTCTCTCTCTCTCTCTCTCTCCCCCCCTCTCCCTCTCCCTCTCCCTCCCCCCCCCCCCCCCCCGTCTAAAAATCAGTATTTTAAAAAAAACCACCCCCCCAAAAAACAATAAAAACTCAGTTCCGGAGAATCCAAGATGGCTGCTCGGGTAGGCACCTAGCCGCAGCTGCACGCAACAATTTCAATAAAATACAACTAAAATATAAAATGGACATCACCCAGAACTACAGGAAAGTCGACTGACTGGAAATTTTACAACGAGAAGTAAGGAGAAAACAAGAAGGAAGCGCGGAGGAGCTGGAAAAGCCTAAGGTACAGAGACACGCGGCGCGCGGAGAGTAGGGCAGCTGAGTGCCTGGCGGGCGTTCCCTGGCGGGAAGGAGATAAAAGCTCCGACTGTGCTGGGCCCCAGTTCTGACTGCTCTGAACCCCAGGCCTAGGCCAGACCCCGGGGACCCAGGCTCACACAGAGGGAGCCGGGCTGAAAGGCGGAACCTGGGGAAGCGGCGAAAGGGGGTCCTGGTGGCACCGCGCAGAGAAGGGACGGCCGGCTGTGCCGCGGGATTGCCTGGCGGGAAGGAGACAGGGGCTCCAGTCTGCGCTGAACGCCACCTCCAACTCCACTTCCAACTGAACTGAACCCCAATATCGGGCTCATTGGGGCAGAGCATAGACTGTTTGGCAGCAGGCGAAAATCGAGGGCGCCTTTCTCTCAGAGGCGCTTACAACAAGTACTGAAGGACCCTGAGTCTCAGGAGCCGCATAGGGCGGGGCTGACGGAAGCCAAAGCTGTAGGCTCCACCCTGAAACCCCGCCCCATCAGGAAAGCTGCCTGCGAAAATGCCTAAACCAAATCACAAACGAAAGAAATGGAGGACAAAAAGCGACTGGATATAATAGAGTTCAAAACCACACTTATAAGGTTTTTCAAGAGTTTCCTAGAAAAGATGGATAAGACCTATGAGGATATGAAAAGAGATCAACTAGAATTAATAAGGAATCAACAAGAAATAAAGAATATATTGTCTGAAATAAAAACTATTATACAGAGTCCTAAAAACAGAATAGAAGATCGCAAGAATCAAGTCAAAGATTTGGAACATAAAGAGCCAGAACAAACTCCTCTGCAGAAGCTAGAAGGCAAGAAAATCCAGAAAATTGAGAATCAAGTCAAAGATTTGGAACTAAAGAGCCAGAAGATACTCCTCTGCAGAAGCTAGAAGGCAAGAGAATCCAGAAAATTGAAGATAATGTAAGAAACCTCTGGGACAACTTCACCCGGAGCAGCTGGTTGTGGAATGAACCAGAGCAACAGAGGCCAGGCCCTGAGCAGCCAGGCCCAGAACAGCTCGCTCTTCGCCTGCCCCTGCCCCAGGGCTGCCTCTCAGACATGGCTGGAAACTTTTGGGGGAACTTGAGGGTCTGCTGAATCAAGTGATGAAGGCTTAGATCTGGATGTGTTGAGTTAGTTTAGGACTGGGGTGTTGATCTGTGAGTGCCTTGGGTGGGGCCTGGATGAGGCTGGTGGACCTATTGGGAAATGTCTTTTGTGTGAAGTGTATCATTGGGCATGTGGAGGTATTATTGATTTGAGAAAATGCTAAGTAACTGATTTACTATCTGAAAAGGGATTTACTATTGGGGAAATTGAGGGAAGAAGAGACTGAACATAAACTGCACCTATGGATGAGGACAATGGGGGATGGGGAGGGGGCAGAAGGTGGGGTGGGAACCTGGTGGAGGGAGGAAGAAATGAGGAACCTTTGTAATAATATGAACAATAAAGATTGATTTAAAAAAAAAAAAGAAACCTCTGGGACAACTTCAAACGATCCAACATCAGAATTATGGGGGTCCCAGAAGATGAGAGAGAGCAAGATATTGAAAACATATTGAAAGAAATAGTGACAGAAAACTTCCCCCACCTGGGGAAAGAATTGGACTTACAAGTCCAGGAAGCGCACAGAACTCCAAATAAAAGGAATCCAAAGAGGACCACACCAAGACAAATCATAATTAAGATTCCAAGAGCAAAAGACAAAGAGAAAATATTAAAAGCAGCAAGAGCTAAGCAGGTAGTTACCTATAAAGGAGCACCCATACGATTGTCAGCTGACTTCTCAACAGAAACCATGCCGGCCAGACGGGAATGGCAAGAAATATTCAAGGCGATGAATAGTAAGAACCTACAGCCAAAGATAATCTATCCAGCAAAGCTATCACTCAGATTCGAAGGTCAGATAAAAGAGCTTCACTAATAAAAAAAAGCTAAAGGAGTTCACCACCACCAAACCAGAATTATATGAATTGCTGAAGGAGGTTCTTTCAGAAGAGAAAGTAAATAAAGATAAAAATTATGAACAACAAAAACGTAACTATCAACAAGTGAATCTAAAAACCAAGGAAATTAAAAAAAAATTTGATGAACAATATTAACTGTTGAATATAATAGAATTAGAGGTATGGAAGGGGAGTGAACTGACGATTCTTGGGGAAAAGGGGAGAGGGGGATGTGGGAAGAGACTGAACATAAACTGTGCATCTATGGATGAGGACAATGGGGGGTGGGGAAAGGGCAGAGGGTGGGGTGGGAAGGGACATTTGTAATAATATGAACAATAAAAATTAAGAAAAAACAAACAAACAAAAAACCCCCCCAGTTCCTCATTTGCACTCCCCACATCTCAGGTGTTGAACAGCCAGGTGAGGCTCATGGCTACCGCACTGGATAGTGTGACTGAGCAATGAGGTACACGTAGGAGGCTATCAATCCATGTGTGTCTCTCACATCAATGTTTCTCTCTGTCTTTCCCTCTCTCTCTCTCCTTAAAAATCAATGGAAAATTATCCTTGGGTGAGGATTAACAACAGAAATTAGCCTTTCTTGGTGGGACGTACTTTTTTTTTTTAATACATTTTATTGACTTTCTACAGAGAGGAAGAGAGGGATAGAGTTAGAAACATCGATGAGAAAGAGTCATCGACCAGCTGCCTCTTGCACACCCCCTACTGGGGATGTGCCTGCAACCAAGGTACATGCCCTTGACCGGAATCGAACCCGGGACCTTTCAGTCCCCAAGCTGATGATGCTCTAGCCATTGAGCCAAACCGGTTTCGGCAATAGTAAATTCTTTATGACCAAATCCATAGTTTTAAAAAATGAGTGCTCTGGGCTAAAACTAGCAAGCTAACCCTAATGGCTATAATGTAGCCTGCAATTACATTGTAAAAATTAAATGCTCGGTAAATAAAAAAGTTCTAGAGATGTGTTGCACAATGTGAACATACTCAACACGGCTGAACTGTACACTTAATGGTTCTTACAGATGGGCCCTGGCCAGTGTGGTCTGGTGTTTGGGGCATCGCTACCAGTCAGGGCACGTACCCAGGTTGCAGGTTCGATTCCTGGTCAGAATGTGTATGGGAGGCAACCAATGCATATCCCCACCCCCCTTTGTCTCTCTGTCTCTATCTCTCCCCCTTCCTCTCTGATATAAATAAAAATATATCAAAAAATGTTCAAGTGATATTTGCATATATTTAAAAAGATTATTTTGTTTGTTAATCCTTACCCAAGGATATTTTTTCAATTTATTTTTTATTTTAGCTTTTTCCCCATTGATGTTTTTTTAGAAAAAGTGGAAGAGAGGGAGGGAGTGGGAGTTGAAAGGGGAGGGAGAGAGGGAAAGGCAGAGAGAGGGAGAGAGAGACCTCGATTGGCTGCCTCCTGAACACACCCCATCAGAGCTAGGGAGGAACGTTTGACCCAGGTACGTACCTTTGGGAATCAAACCGGACCTTTCCACCTCAGGCCTAATGCTCCAACCACTGAGAAAAACTGGTGGCCAGGGCAGAAAGATTTATCATTTTAAAAAAAGTTTGTTTTTTAAATTTTTTAAATTGATTTCAGAGAGGAAGGGAGAGGGAGAGAGAGAAACATCAATGATGAGAGAGAGTCATGCCCCACACTGGGGATCAAGCCAGGAACCCTGGCATGTGCCCTTGAGCAGAATCGAACCTGGAACCCTTCAGTCTATAGGCCGAGGCTCTATCCACTGAGCCAAACCAGCCAGGCAAAAGATTTATTTTTTAAACAACTAGTTAAGAAAAAAAAAAAAAAAAAAAAGGTGCTGGTTTTCATATTAGATACCAGTCTTGCAGAGCTGACCACCAGAGTCATTATAGATATTATTTTTGTTTGAATGACTTCACTTAAGAAATCTCAATTTTAGGATTCTTATTTATTTATTTATTTATTTATTTATATTTTTAAAAATATATTTTATTGATTTTTTATATAGAGGAAGGGAGAGAGAAAGAGAGCCAGAAACGTCGATGAAAGAGAAACATCGACCAGCCGCCTCCTGCACACCCCCAACCGGGGATGTGCCTGCAGCCAACATACATGCCCTTGACCGGAATCGAACCGAGGACCCCTCAGTCCGCAGACTGACGCTCCACCACTGAGCCAAACCAGTTTCGGCTAGGATTCTCTTTTAAATTTTACTGTAAGTTTTGCGCTAAGCTTTATATTAACTACAAGAAAGAATTGAAGAGCTGTAAAAAACTTTGTAAGAGGATATTACTAAAACCAAATATTTTAAATGAGTGAAATAAACTTGGAAAATTTAATTTCAATTTAGTAATAGTTCTTACAGTATCCTTTGGAATCAGTTTTATAATTGACTCCTTTGTAAATTATAAGCTCATCAACCCTTTATGACATTACCTTTGCATGCTTCAGTTCCAATTCTGCCAGTTCCACTAAGTTTTTTCTGAATGCTGCAACTCTTCTTGTCTTAAAATCTATAAGTTCTGTGAACAGAAGAAATTAGGATATTTTATTTACATACTAGTGTAAAACATACCTTATTAAAGGAGAATGTAACAATACCTTGTTTTGCAGACTCTGATATTTTTTCAAATTTCTGACAACATAATTGTTGGGATGTTTCTGCCTGTAAAACATCTTTATTTTTGGCTCTTGCTTTATCCAGTGCTTTATTAGCATTTTCATAATCCACTAGTGACCTAGATCTTCGATAGAGGAGATCCTATAAAACAGAATGCAAACTGTTGGACAAAAATAGACAGAGGCAAAGAAACATTAAACAGACTGCCAAACTACAGCAGGAAGGTAGGGGAAGGGTCAGGGGGATAAGAGACTAATTGTAGGACTTTTATGTGGGCATATAAGCACAGCCAACAGATGCAAGACACTGGAGGCGGGGGGGGGGGGTAGGAAAGGCTGGGGGGAGGTGAGTGGGGACAAAAAAAGAAAAAAAAGACCTTAAACAATATTTTTTTAAATAAAAAAAATTAAAAATCCCCCACAAAAAACAGAATGCTTTACAATAGATGCTGCACATTTCTAGTAGCTATACTCAACCCCTCCACCACTTCCACCACTGCCACCTAATCGTCCTCAGAGATAATACTTATACAGTGAAAACCACATGCCAGCTAATCTTGCATTTTTAAAAATAAATATCACATAGCTTACTCATTCAGATGCACAATAAAATGGTTCTTAGGATGCTCACAGAGTTGCTGAACCATTATTAGAATCAATGTTAGAAGATTTGCTGTCACCCCCAAAAGAAACCCCTTATTTATTTATTTATTTTTTAAAAAAATATTTTATTGATTTTTTACAGAGAGGAATGGAGAGGGACAGATAGTCAGAAACATCAATGAGAGAGAAACATCGATCAGCTGCCTCCTGCACACTCTCTACTGCCCTTGACCGGAATCGAACCCGGGACCTTTCAGTCTGCAGGCCAATGCTCTAGCCACTGAGTCAAAACGGTTTCGGCAGAAACCCCATATTTATTAATAGTAACTCTCCTTTTTCAACCCCCACATTAATGGTTTCTGTCTCCACAAATCTGTCTATTCTGGACATGCTATTAAAAAATGAAATCATATATGTGGCCTTTTGTGTATATATTTTTATTTTTATTTTAAATATATTTGATTTTTTTACAGAGAGGAAGAGAGGGATAGAGAGTTAGAAACATCGATGAGAGAGAAACATTGATCAGCTGCCTCTTGCACACCCCTACTGGGGACGTGCCCAAAATCAAGGTACATGCCCCTGACCGGAATCGAACCCGGGACCTTTCAGTCCTCAGACTGATGCTCTATCCACTGAGCCAAACTGGTTTCGGCTGTGTATATATTTTTTTAAAAATTTCTTTGTTGATTAAGGTATTACATATGTGTACTCATGCCTCCATTAACCCCTATAGCTTTTTTTTTTTTTTAAAGTATGTTTTTATTGATTTCATAGAGAGGAAGGGAGAGAAGCTTCAATGATTAGAGAATCATTGATCGGCTGCCTCCTGCGCGCCCCCTACTGGGGATGGAGCTGAAAACCTGAGCATGCCCTGATCAGGAGTTGAACAGTGATTTCCTGGTTTATAGGTTGACACTCAACCACTGAGCAACACTGGATGGATTTTTTTTTTTTTTTTAAATGGAAAGATTTGTTTTATTTCTACTGGAAAAAGAGGAGGATAAATATAACTGTTTTCCAGTTTGCTCTCCATTGTGTACATACATACCCCCACACATACAAAAAAATACACACACACCAAAAATACCCCAAACAAACAAAAAAACAAGAATTAAAAATCAAAACACCCTCAAACTGCATCAATACTTTGGATTTTTTTTCTTAAATATATTTTATTGATTTTTTACAGAGAGGAAGGGAGAGAGGGATAGTTAGAAATGTTGATGAGAGAAAAACATCGACCAGCAGCCTCTTGCACACCCTCCACTGGGGATGTGCCTGCAACCAAGGTACATGCCCTTGACTGGAATCGAACCCGGGACCTTTCAGTCCGCAGGCCGATGCTCTATCCACTGACCCAAACTGGTTTCGGCTGGGCAGCACTTTCCTTTCTATTGCTAAACTAGAGGTCCAGTGCACGAAATTTGTGCACTGGCTGGTGATCAGGGTCATTTGTGGGGTGACTGGTGGGGTGACCAGGGTCCCACTTGTCCCCAGCTCGGCCTGGCGCCACCTGCTTGCCGGGCCTGTCCCCTCTACCACCGATGACCACCTCCCTCTGCAGGGTGACTGGCGGGGCGATCAGGGGCCCCGTTCACAGCTGCCTTGGCTGGCCTGGCACCCCACCCGCGGCCGCCGCTGATTGGGGCCTGTGGGCTGGAGGCAGCTTGTGTTGAGCATCTGCCCCCTGGTGGTCAGTGCACGTCATAGTGACTGGCGGTTCTGCCATTTGGTTGATTTGTATTATATATTAGGGTTTTATACAGAATGTATATACTAGAGGCCCAGTGCACGAAATTCGTGCACATGGGGGGGGTGTGCCTTAGCCCGGCCCACGCCCTCTTGCAGTCTGGGAGCCGCTGGGGCTGGCTGGCTGACGGCTCCTGAGCGCTGCCGCGGAGGCCGGAGAGGCCTGCCACGCCGCTGTGCTCGCCAGGGGAGAGCCGGCTCTGGCTGAGCGGCGCTGCCCAGTGGGAGCGCGCTGGCCGCCGGGGGCGGCGCCTGCACTGAGCGTCGTCTGCTCCCTGGTGGTCAGTGCACATCATAGTGACCGGATGTTCCACCATTTGGTCGGTTTGCATATTAGCTTTTTATTATATAGGATATTTAATTCCCATCTGAAGGTGTTTTCTTTTTCTTAAAAAATATAATTTATTGATTTTTTTACAGAGAGGAAGGGAGAGGGATAGAGAGTTAGAAACATTGATGAGAGAGAAACATCGACCAGCCGCCTCCTGCACACCTTCTACTGGGGATGTGACTGCAACCAAGATAATGCCCTTGACTGGAATTGAACCTGGGACCCTTCAGTCCATAAGCCGATGCTCTATCAACTGAGCCAAACTGGTGAGGGCAAAGTCTCTTCTTTTCTCCACTAAACTATCTTAGCACCCTTGTCATCAATCAATTGATTGCCGCAGAAAACTTGGAACGGAAGGAACATCCTCAACTTGATAAAAACATCTGCTAAAAACCTACAACTAATATCAGATTTAATGGTGAGAAATAATAAGCTTTCCTACTAATATTAGGAATAACACAAGGATGTCCAGTATTGTCACTCCTTCTCAACCTCGAACGGGGAGTCCTAGCTAATGCAATCAGAAAAAAAAATAAGAAGTATACAGATTTGAAAGAAATAAATAGATGGCATGACTGTTTATGTAGAAATCCGATAAAAGGAAATTCCATTTAGGGAGGATCCAAGATGGCTGCTCGGGTAGACATCTAGCCGCGGCAGCACACAACAATTTCAATGGAATACAACTAAAATGTAGAGTGGACATTGCCCAGAGCTACAGGTAGTCGACTGACTGAAATTTCTACAACAAGAAGGAAAGAGAAAACCAGAAAGAAAATCAGAGGAGCTGAAAAAAAGCCTAAGGTACGGAGACATGCTGCACGCGCCTGCCCGCCCGCACGCGTGCACGGAGAGGTCGCAGCCGGAGAGGAGGAGAGGGCGGGGAGCTGCCTTTCCTTCCCTAGCAGGAAGGAAATAAAACCCCCAGCCTGGGCTGAACCCCCGAACCGGCAGCGCTGAGCCCCCCGAACCGGCAGCGCTGAGCCCCAGTTATGGGCCAGACCCTGGGGACCCAGGCTCCGGCGGGAGGAGACAGGGCCATGAGGCGGAAAAATGGCAAAAGGCAGGGCCCCGGGAGTCGCGCGCAATGCGCGCAGAGGACTGAATGTTGACTCTGATGCTGGGTTGCCCTAACCGGAAGAAACAAGGCCTCCAGCGGCGCTGGGCCTCAGTCCGGACTGCTCCGAACCCCAGTTCTGGGCCAATCCCTGGGGATCCAGGCTCAGGCAGAGGGAGACGGGGCTGTGAGGTGGAGTCCGGGGAGAGCAGCGAAAGGCCGGGCCCCGGGGACTCGCGCAAACTGCGCGCAGAGGACAGTCTGTGGGACTCGCAGAAACTGCGCGCAGAGGACAGTCTGTTGACTCTGATGCTGGACTTCCCTAGCGGGAAGGAGGAAAAAAAAAGCTCTAGGCTGGGGGAATGCGGAGGGGAGCGGAAGCCCCTGCCGGACTCCAGCCAACCGGGCACCAGCAAGGAGGTGGGCCACGGGGCCCCTGGGGGCGTGGGTGCCCCTGAGCCTTTGACTACTGAGCTCGGGCAATGGAGCCAAGGCCGGGGGCTGCTTCCTGGGTGGCGCCGTCCCGGCAACAGGCTGAAGCAGCACAGGAGCCCGCAGAGAACAAAGGAGTGCCACAGGCCAACCTGCTGAGCTCCCAGGACAAGGAGGAAGAAACCAAAGAAGTTCTCAATGTGAAGAAATCAAGTGAGAGCAAAAAAATAGTAAAATTACTTAAGAAAGAATACAAAGAAGATCTTGAAAAATCAAAGACTAAGTCAGAACTCAACTCACCAGCCAACATTGCAACATAAATGCGTTTTAAAAAGAAAAAGAAAAGGACAGAATGTTGGAACAGCGACGGCCAGGCCTAGAGTGGCCAGGCACAAGGCAGTGGCAGCCAGACCCGGAGCAGCAACGGCCAGGCCCCAGAACAACAGCAGCCAGAACCAGAGCATCAACAGCCAGCACTGGAGTAGCCAGACCTGGGGCAGTGGCAGCCAGGCATGAGGCGGAGGCGGCCAAGCCCAGGGTGGCCAGTCCAGGAACACCCAGACCCGGAGTGGCCGGGCCCGAAGAAGCCGGGCCCAGAGCAGCCAGGGTGGGAGCAGCCAGACCCAGAACAGCAGTAGCCAAGCCCAGAGCATCCAGGTCGGGAGTGGCCAGGCTCGGAGCGGCCGGGCCCGGGGCAGCCGGGCCCAGAACAGCCGGGTCAGGTGCGGCCAGGCCCGGAGCAGCGGCTGCCAGGCTGGGAGCGGCCAGGCCCGGGGGAGCAGGCGGGGCTGGTGCGGCCAGGCCCGGAGCAGCGGCTGCCAGGCTGGGAGCGGCCAGGCCCGGGGGAGCAGGCGGGGCTGGTGCGGCCAGGCCCGGAGCAGCGGCTGCCAGGCTGGGAGCGGCCAGGCCCGGGGGAGCAGGCGGGTCGGGTGCGGCCAGGCCCGGAGCAGCGGCTGCCAGGCTGGGA